CCAACACAGAGGTCCAGAGATGTTGTTTGGGTATGAGGATAAAGTTGTCGCTGTCGTTTGTAGATTCCTCGCCCCAGGCAGAAAAGGTGCAAGCAACAAGAAGAGGCAGAGACTCCTCAGCACCCACCCTCCGAGGAGCAATCCCTTTTCACTGGGAGAGGGCTGCTCCTGCTCAAATAGCTGAGCCTGTCGGAGCACATCCTCCTCCCCAAGCGGCTGCCGAAAGGCACTCAAGGAATGCCGAAACAACAAACGCCTCTATTAACACCATGAGCCCCCAAAACTTGCCGAGGCAGCTGGTTTCTCAGGACACACTTCTTGAGGGGAAGCACAGATGGGGAGAGACATATCCCCAGGTGTTGCAGGAGACCTGTAAGAGAAGTTTTCCAAATGCAGGCAGGCGCCACGAGGCCGTCTGGCCTCCCATGCTGCTTTACCAGGCAGCTGAGCGCTTTCCAGTCAGACACAAGCAGCTTCAACATCAGTAAATACAACCAGAACAAAATCCACGTTCAATCTGCAGTGGGGGACCCAGGCTGGGGACGCAGCACCAGGCTGATGGGCAAACCTGGCCCTGCCTGCAGCACCCAGCTATGCTCACGCTTCACCCATACTCTTATGGGGTTTCTCCAGCTTCTGCGTCTGGTGGTGGGTCAGAAACGATCTGCCACCCTTGAGGCTCAAGCCAAAAAGAGGCCCTGAAGGTACTTCAGTAGCACCTGGATGGCCACAGAACCTCAACATCTTCCTAGCCAGGCTCAAAATAGTGCCAAGCACGACTTTGCTGCAGCTCTGCTCTTCAATAACCACGTTCAGATCCACTGTCTCAGCACAGAGCCAGCACAAGGCCTGTGACCAAAAAGGTGTTCCAAGTAAACTCCGGGTTATGTACAGCCTTGCCCCTGCACTACACCCAGGGCTCTCCCACTGGCAGGTCGGGTGGAGGTCTAAGCACTCAAAATTCAACACCCAAATGCTGTGGTTTGGCTACAGCTGAGCTGTGTTTCCAGCAATGACTACTGAAAAAGAGCGGAGTGAGAGGAAGATGCTGGGAACACACAGCTAAGGATTGGGTAGGAGGGACCAGGGCTTCACTTCTGGCTGCCCAGCCTTGCTCCGTGCTGCTGGGGGACAGGCAGAGGAACACCCAGCCTGTCCGAGGCAAAGCTGGGATCACCAGGCACCTGCTAAACATATCAACAGCCTCTGTTAGGAGGGTGCAGCCAGGCCTCGGACCAGCTGAAGCTACACGGGGCCTTCCCTGCAAAGGCAGATCACCTCCAGCTCTAACTGGAGAGAAGGTCCACAGCATCCTCACAGCTCTGGAAGGGAGAAGGGCTCTGCACTGCATCAAAATGGGGACAAGCACCTTCAGGAGGGAGCAGAGATCCTGCCAGGTCCTAAATCTCACTGCCCAGCAGCGCAGTGGTTACTCCTCAGGTGCATTCAGGCATCTGAACTCCTCCCTTCTTCAGCACTGAGCAGAAGGTGTGATGCTACAGCCTGGCCCTGCCCACCTCCTCCTACCGAAGGCCCAGCACTTTCCCAAGGAAGGGGACACACACCACGGGTCCCTGGAGATGCGGGGTGGTGCCAAAGCCTGACTCCCTGCACCATTATCCAGCAGGACAAGCCACCAGTGGTAACCAGTTCAGCTGCCCACACACACGGCGATCAAACCCACCACGTGTACTCAGCTCAGCATATGCACAATACTGCTCTCTTCCATAGGTGATTTTTTTTTTTTTTTTAAACTCTCCATTAAGGTCTCCACGCCCCAAAATGTAAGGAAGCCCGTTGGTACAGCAGTTATCCTTGCTACTACTTGTCTGTCCTGCCAAACTAAGGCCAACACTGAGCAGACTCGCCGCTGCATTTTTTTGTGCAGAGATTTTAAAAAAAAAAAAAAAATTTAAAAAAAAAAAAAAAAAAAAAAAAGTAAAGTGGTTTTGACCTGCCCCGTGACATTCTTCCCACTGCAAGGGGAGAGATCTCATTTCCCAACCCCTGCCTCCCCCAGCTCCTCCCAGAAATTCATCTCTGCAAGAGGCACAGCACAGAGCTGTAATTTTAAAGGATGACTAAGTGTCGAAACACCAGCAGCTGATTAACAGCAGCTCACTGAAGCTTAATTTTTAGGTAAGTTGAAGAGTTGAAGATTATTTTTTTGTTCCCCTCCCTCTCCAAGCCCTACCTTGGATTTTTATTTACACTTTCAACATCCCTGACGAGCTCTGCTTACAGAACTGCAGCCCAACTTCAAAGCTCAACGCCCCTCTGCTCCCTGCGGGGCAGAAGTGTCGGTCTCCAGCAAGCCATGGCTTTACACAGCGCTCACCTTGCAGATCTCCGAGCCCCAAACCGACTGTTTTTCCCCACGGGAACAGGGCGGAAAAGCCAAAGTCCACCCAAAGTGCACCCACACCCTGTTCCTTGCAAAGGCGGATTGCAGGCTGCGCTGTGGTGGAGAGTGTTTCCTGCTCAGTGGGCTAAGTATAACTGGTTTAAAATAAAAATAAAAAAATAAATAAATAACCCAAGCTCTTTGCAATTACAGATATAAACTCCCCTGAGAGCTCAGATCAGAGATAGCCTGAGCTGAAATTGCTGCGAGTGTATCAGGGTTTTCACAGAGGGCTTCGTCAGCACTTGTTCCTGTGGCGGTAGCTTGCAGTGTGAAAGATAAAAACAAGGAACAACAAAAAAAAAAAGAAAAGTGGGGGGTGGGGAGATCTGAGTATATCAGAAAAAAAACCCAACAAAACAACAGGAAGCTGCCAAGAAAAGTGTCGTCACATAGGCAGCAAGAAAATATTAGTAAAGCCAGTGCCCAGCAGTTATGCCCTTCCTAGAGGGTGTATAAAGGGGTGGCACAGAAGGTGCAGCAGCAGGGATGGAGGAAGCAGCCTGCAGCAAAACCCCTAGTTTTCAGGCCAGTCACCACAACTAAACCCCACGTACAGGCCACAGGATTATTTATTGTACCGCTAGACTTCCCCTCCCCGTGTCGTGCTCTAGGTGGTTTTCAGCTTGAGAAAGCACAGGATGAGGTGCTCGTTTGGGGTGAGGGAGTTGTTTGCAGGGAAGGCAGAATTCAGTTACCAGGACACCCCACGTTTCTCAAATTCAGGATAAACACCAACAGATTATCTCAGTTTACCTTTTGCCACCAGCTAACTGGGCTAATATTAGTGCACAGCAGTTCCCTTATTCAAAGGGCTGAGAAAGTTCCACTACGCTACTGAAAAATCGAAGATGAAATCAAGTCACCTGCTCACTGGCCATCTAGATCTTTTTCAAAACACGTGTCCAATTCCGGCAGCAGAAAAAGGACATTCAACAAGTAAAGCAAAAGCTAAGTATCATCTCAGCCAAATTTGTGATTCAAACATTTCCTGCAGAGCAGATCTTGCTCTAATTTGCCTTGCAAAGTTATGTTTGGATCCTGACAAAACACGCTGTGGTTAGATAGATGGACAAAGGGCTACAGAATCCTGCAGAAAACTGATCTGGAAAGAGAATCATTCGCCCCAAAAGCTGCCTCCCCAGGGGCATCACTCCCATGTATTTCAGAAGCAGCTCTGTGCCCGCATCTGCGGGGAGTTTCATGCATCAGTACAAAGCTGCCTGGAGATGGGAGCTCCTACTCAACACTTTTGCTCTCTACGTACAACCACGGTGAAGTTTCAAGGGCATCACCCACAGGCAGGGGAAGGCTTTTTGCTGACCCTGCCCTAAGATGAGAGCTCACAAACAAGCACTCGTGGAAAAAAGTGATTTACCAAGTTGACAGCAGCGATGCCAAAAACGTGGTATGAAACCACGTCACCTCCGATACGTTCCAGGCTGCTCAGCAGTGGTTAAACAGCCGCAATCCTCAGCCTGAAAAGTCAAGTCAGAGTGGGGAAAAAAATATTTTTGTCAAGAGATTTAGCGGAGCAATTCCTAATTCCAGTTTGGGAGCAGGAGTGCATCGCTGCTAGCCCAACAATGCCAGCTCATTGCTTGGTAAAGACTGCCCAGGACTGATGCTCCTTGTCAATGGGCCACCACAGGCTGCATCACCTCACCGTGCACCATATCAAGTGGCAGGGTTGAAAAGCAAGAGCTGTTTATTCATTATTCATCATTATTTCCAAGATCTCTAGCTCCTGTTTCAGCTTCAACCCAGACCTCGTGCCTTTTCCAGTGTGAAACCCAACCACAGCAAGCACTGAGAAGTTTCAGCCTCCGTGATGGCTCTCAAGAACTATTCCCAGTCCGAGATGCAGGCAGGCTGATCTCAAGAAGGGATATGCATTTTCTGCCACGAGTTATTCCCAAGAACCAGCAAGGATTTTGCTCTACTTTCTCAGCAGAGCACGTGTGCTCATCTGCAGCAGCATCTCTGATACACACCTCCCACAGAGGAGGTTTCTAGCTGGTAAAAACGATGAGAAAAGGTCACGTCCTGCATCTTCAAACCAAACTTTACCTCCCGTCGTCTCCAAAGAAGACCTGACAGCGTTTTTACCAGCAGGAAACCAACTGCAGTCAGCTGGTCCTGCCTGGAGTGACACCCTGCCTCGGTTAGTTTTTGTGCTCACATTTTCCAGTGACAAGAGAGAAGAGCGGTGGGGTGCAGTTAAACAGCCACGTGTACCCTGTGGGCCTCCGTTCATGGGAAAAAAAACCCACCACACTTAATGACACATGCAGGGGACAGAGCTGCAGCAATGGCTGTTGAATTCAAGGGAGCCTAAAAGCAAGGCAGCCAACACTTCTGATGGCACCACCTTCCCCCTGCTACCCCCAAAAATGCTGCCAGTCAGCCCCAGGCTTTTCCTCTTTATTCCCCCAACTCAGATCATTTACACCATGAGATCAAAATCACACTAAAAAAAAAAAATAAAAAAAAAATTGCATGTTAGAAGCCAAGCACAGAGACTAATCAGCAAACACAAGAGCAGCACCTGAACAATACATACAAGAGAGACAAGTGGGAATAAATAAATAATTACTTGTGCTTGACGGTCTCCTCTTCATCATCTTCTCCGAGCTGCTTGTTCTCACGTTCGCTGCTGCCCTTATTCTGAAAGAAGAAGTTGATCTGTCAGGCCTTGGCCTCTCTGGAAATGACAGAGAACAAACAGCAGTCCAGAAACCCTCCCAGAGGGCACAGGGCAAACAGTAAGGCGCAGTTTGAAATTACTTTTAAATGATGACAAATTTAAATTCAGCCTGTTTTTCTTTTTTTCCCCCTCCTCTTAGTATTCTGCTTGTACAGATAGCACAATAAACAAATGTAAGAACAGGCAAGGAAAATTTAGCTTTCCTCTCAGAAGCATCACACCACTCAGTGCTGATATCCCCCTGACTACTGGTCACTGCATCAATTCAGAGAGCAAACGGCAAGTTGCAATCAATAACAGAGCTCAGAAACCTTGTCCTGTGTTTGAATTACCACCTCACATTAAATGGCAGAGCAAAAGGAGAACAGGGCACGGAGCAAAAGAGAGGACAGCCAGCATCCATGTACACCTTCACCATGTCACTGGGGCAGGGACCTGAAGTTAAATCCCACGCTCCCCGATCCAGAAGAAAGGATGGATATTATTGTGTTGTTTGAAAGGAACTACAGGCAGACGTGAGAGAGAATAAAAACTCAGGAAGTGAGCAAGCCCCTGCTCGGCTGGCTCGTGATGCAGCAGCTCACCTGCAAAAGGAGCACACACCAGCAGGCTTCACACGAGTCCCTTTTCCTTCTCCAAAGTAATCAATTTGGACGTTTTAACCAGTTGTGAAACAAGGTGGCAGGAATCAAACAGCAATTGGCACCACAAAGAGTCTAATTTCAGCTCCAGAAACACTGTGCAGTGACATAAATCAAATTTCCCTTTAACAGGGTGTTACAGTATTGTGAAGAAGCTCATTTTGCATCATCCAGGCACTGGCACTAAGTTTATTACTCGAGTTACCAATTATATGTATTATCCAGACAGGCACAGATATTGAGTGTTAACAATAACGAGCTGGAAAGGGTTTTGTTTGGCTCTTACACTGATTAACTAATTTAATTCAACCGCTGAACAAAGCATGCTTCATGACAAAGACATCTGCCTGTATTTTGCCGGGTATATTGTTATAGCAAACGCAATGAATGAACAACTTCCAAGGAAGCTGTTGCTCTTCTGATTGAACTCCTCCATCATCCTCCAAAGGAAAAGCAAAATGTGGCAGTTCTAGACAGATTAAGTCTTTATTTGCTTGAGCGTGGCTGGTTTCAGCAGTATTACCCAAGCTACCTGGTAATAAATACACAGCGTTTCTAATCTCTGGCTACAATTCACATGGCCACAAACACACGGGAGCTGTTGTGCCAACATTCATCTACCTTTCAGTAGGAATACCTCACAGAGCAGAAGAACTATTATCAAGAAATGTCCTTTCATCGCATTGCAAAGGTTACCGGTCCTTTTCACATGGTTCAAAGAGATGAAGCATTCTAGGTCAGTCTGTTCAAAGTCTTTTTTCAGCCCTGAAATAGGTTCACATCCTTCTTTGGAAAATTGCAAGGAAAAATTGGCTATAACCAGAACACGACCAATATTATTTTCAGATCAGAAATTACTTTGATTAGTTACTTGCTCTGTTAAAAGCTTCACTAGAGAGTTCAGACATCTAACAGCCAGCTTCAGGATACCAAAATAATTTACCAGCTAAACTTATTCCTAACCTCTGGAAGGACCAGAAGGGTTTCCCTAGTGAACAGCTTGCTTACCACATGCATCTTGACTCTACAAACTTTAAAACTCCATTCTATGACCTAGGTTAAAAATTAGATTACACGCAAACAGGGAGGTGAGCCAGGAAAGAGCTCAGGTCTGGTTCAGCCCCATCAGTGACTGGAGTTGTTCAGATTCAGCTCCTGATCAAAGGGCAAGAAACAGTCCTGTCTTTTTAGAAAAAAAAAAAAAAATCTTTCTTAAACCCAGTGTTTAGTTCAGCTTTTACTCCCTGTTCGTCATTTTCAGTCCCTAGTAACCTTGTGATACATGCACAGAAATTTCATATTCAATAAAGACCATGAGCTTGGCTTGGTAAGAGCAAGAGCAGCCTGCTGTAACTTTCTGCTGTGAGCTTAGTCCTAGGTAATATTTAGAAACCCTCCAGTCCAAGTTATTTAAAGTTGTGGAAAGTACCTTCTTGCACTCTAAGTCCTTTCTCATTCCTTTCATCTCTTCATACTTCTAGGGCATGTATGAAGAGCCTGCATTCCCCTCATTCTTGCTACAGTTTTATCCAGGAGGATTATATGCAGGTTTTGAAATCCTAAAGAGATATTTGACAAAAATATTCTCATCAAGCCATGGCTTTTCTTCCCACCACAAGCCTGCACTCCTTGCAGTGCTGCAAACCTTTCTTTTCACCGTATGCTGAAATAATACAATATTGAAATCCTACCACTCTTCTAGAGCTTGACCAAAATCCTCAGTTCCAATTTATTCCCATTACCACCCAAATATTTTCCTGTGGGGAGGCAGCACGTGCAGGGGGAATACAGCACAGAGTAGCTCCCTACCCACATGGTGATATTCCTAGAAAAATCAAGCACACCACCACCAAATGCAACTTTGTGCCACAAGTGCTGCAGTGCCTTCAACGAGGGACTTTTTCCCTGCTAAGCATCTCCTTGTGGCACCTTCTCAGACAGCAGGGAGCAGGCATGCTGCCCTTCAGTAAGGAGTGAACGGAAGCCAGAGTCTCCCTGGGGATACTGTGAGCTGGGAAAAAACAAAAGGTGAGCCCTCCTGTACTTCAGCAGAAGTAAACAGAGGATAATGAGAACTGCAGTGCAGTTCAAGGATACAGTGTAACGGTACGTGAGCATTTCCAGCCTATTCATCATGGTCAGGAATGCCTTTTAAATTATATTCTCTCCCCTCATCCACCACTAATCGGGATCCACCAGATGGATCAACGTGCAAGTGGAACACTAACGAGGTCTGAAACAGATGTCTAAAGTCAGGCTTCTGCTCCCCCCCGCAAAAAGAGAAATAAATGCTGGTTCCCTGTTTGCACAAGGTCTGTAAACAAGATGTTGGTTTCATGAGCAGAGTGACGAAAAACCCCCAGCCACGGGGCAGAGGTGACATGTGGCAAAGAGGCCATAAACCTCCAGCAGCATCGGGAACCCCTCGCAGATCTGCAAAGAGACAGCTCAGCACCGACTCTACAAAAAAAACAAAAACAAAAAAAAGAAAAACCCACAAAACAAACATTCTAAAGCAATATTTGATGGAACAGCAGAGGAGGACCACTGCTCCTCTTCCAACTGCTGAGATTTTGCTTGCATTTCCAGGCAGGCTGTGCTGCCTTCCCCCTGCACACTCTCCTTACCCACAGCTTACCATGAAGGCTTCCTGTTCTGCCTTCGAGCACGTGAATTCACACAAGCTGAAAAAAGGCAGTTGTAAGACAAGAGTGGCTTGCTGTAGATGGTGCATAGAAGGAGCTGTCACAGGTTTTTAAATATCCATACAAACGACAGCTGATTCAAAGTGCTTCTTGACGGTTTTAGGCTGCAGCAGGCAGCAAGTGGGGTGTACGGCTATCACCCCTCCTCTGCTTTCCACACTTCCTCGGGCAAAATGCTGGGGTTTCCTGCTGGATGAGCAAGATGAACTTTCAATTGCTTCAGCAAAAAGAGGCAATTAAAGTGCCTGCAGCCTTGAGAGACTAACTGTGCACAACAGCAGCAGGACAGGGAAAAGAAAGGACTGATTCTGTGCTCGCCACAGCTTCATAGAATCATAGAATCCCAGAATCATTCAGGTTGGAAAAGCCCCTCGGTATTATCAAGTCCAACCCTCAGCCTGACTCTACAAAGTTCTCCCCTACCCCACATCCACCCACAGCTCATCCAAATGACCCTTAAACACACCCAGGGATGGGGACTCCACCCCTCCCTGGGCAGCCTATTCCACTCTCTGACCACTCTTGCTGGGAAATACTTTCTCCTCAAGCCCAGTCTGACCCTCCCCTGTTGCAGTTTAAAGCCGTTCCCTCTTGTTCTGTTACTAATTCCCTGTGAGAAGAGCCCAGCCCCAGCCTCTCTGCAATGTCCTTTCAGGGAGCTGTAGAGAGTGATGAGGTCTCCCCTCAGCCTTCTCCTCCTCACACTGAACACTCCCAGCTCCTTCAATGGCTCCTCACAGGATTTATTCCCCAGGCCCTTCCCCAGCCTCGTTGCCCTCCTCTGCCCTCGCTCCAGCCCCTCGAGATCTCTCTCGTATTGAGGTGCCCAAAACTGGACACAACACTCCAGGTGTGGCCTCACCAGTGCAGAGAACAGGGGGACTGTCACCTCCCTACTCCTGCTGGTCACACTATTTCTAATCCAAACCAGGATGCCTTTGGCTTTCTTGGCTACCCGGGCACACTGCTGGCTCTTGTTCAGCTGCTTGTCAGTGAGAACCTCCAGATCCTTCTCTCCCAGACAGCTTTACCCCAGCAAACCTTGCCTGTGTCCCCTCTCCAGGTAGTTACCCGCAGCGTGCCCTGAAATTATATTCAAAACAAACACGCTCCATTTCAGTCTGAAATAAGTCAACCAGATTCTTCAGGGAATACCCATCAGAAATCCCCGGGGTATCAACAGAGAGCTGGGGCAGAGCTCTGTGTGACACTCCTGTCCTCACAGGTTGGCCCAGCATAGTCTGCTGAAGGACCATGCGTGTGTCATCTGCTGCTGTGCAGGAGCAGCCAGAGCAGCTCCCACCGAGTCCAGCAGTGCTCTAAATTAACCTAGCTAAGATACAAAGCCTCCCTTGTTCACGTCTCCTTGTCTGAGCATAGCTGAAAGATGCCACTGAGAGAGCCATTAATAAGTAGACAGAAAAGAGAGGAAATAATGTTCCCTTGATATTCTGCTTAATGCAGAAGCGGATGATGAACTGCCCTTGCAAAGAGAAGCAATGGGGGTTTGCAACCATCATCTCCTTCCTCCTCTGCACAACCAGCTGTGCAGGCAAGGGCTGCACCAACGGGGAGGAGCTTCCCCCTCCAGCCACTCCTGCAGGGGCAGAACCT